TGTTACCATCGGAAAGGATGTGGGCTGCGAAGTGATTTCTGTAGAAACTAACATCGTGTTAGGTCTATATAAAGAACTGATTAATGACAGTTATGTGGGTATCAAGGAAGAGCTGAAACGCAAATGTAGGTACATATTTATAGAATTTGTATACGTTTTTCGATAGCTACTGAAATCACAAACGTTCTAGACGAAACGGATGATGCAGAGAATGAGGACTGTAATCTTAATAAGATGGTGAAGGCGGAAGCTAATGCAGCAGCAAATGCGCGAAAAGAGACGACTATCGGCGGTTCGGATGCATCTGATGATATAATGGTCTGCGAACTAAGCATCTCTATTTATATATATACATATATTAACTAATTTCTATACACTGACACCTTAGTCCCTCCTCTCGATGCCATCAACGCGCGAGAAGCAAAGCAAACAAGTTGGCGAGGAAATACTCGAATTATTAACCAAGCCCACTGCCAAGGAACGCTCTGTTGCAGAAAAATTCAAATCACATGGTGGGGCGCAGGTTATGGAATTTTGTCCACATGGCACAAAAGTGGAGTGCCTTAAAGCGCAACAAGCCACTGCGGAAATGGCAGCCAAAAAAAAAGCGGGACCACAAATTAGAGAATGCCAGGAAAGCGATTCTCGATTTGGAAGGAATCCAAAAAAATAACGAGGAAACAACAAATATGGACGATGCAAATGCAACATCGGATAGTAATGGCAACACCAGCGCGAAGGAAGAGAAAAACGATGCCAAGGCTGCAGAATCGGATGCGGAAGATGGCGAAATTGTATCGGATAACTTAAAGGACGGCGAAGTTGATTCGGAACAATCGTCGGATGAACTTTTAGAGACATTAGATACTTGCACAAAATTGCATTTTAAGAAAATCATCCAATCGCACACCGACGAATCACTCGGCGACTGCAGTTTTTTAAATACGTGTTTTCACATGGCGACATGCAAGTATGGGCACTGTTTGAGAATTAAGTCAAATTAAACGAATGCATTTTTGTCGGTTTTTGTAGGTACGTGCATTACGAAGTCGACACGATACCGAATATAAACACTAACAAGCCAGTCGATGTTAAGACTAAACTTTGCATCAAACGAAGCATTGATCCCAGCGTAACACTCTATCCCCCGCAGTGGATACAATGTGATTTGCGTTATCTAGACATGACAGTACTCGGCAAATTCGCCGTTGTTATGGCCGATCCACCGTGGGATATACACATGGAATTGCCTTATGGTGAGTTAAGGAAATTTAAATTTCCAAAATGTTTGCCCTACGTATTTGATAAATTAATATGTTTGATTAAAGGCACAATGTCCGATGATGAGATGCGGCAGTTAGGCGTACCAGCGTTGCAAGATGATGGACTTATTTTCTTGTGGGTAACTGGTCGCGCTATGGAATTAGGACGGGAGTGCCTAAAGCTCTGGGGGTAGGTAATATTTATTTTACTGTGAATATGTTATTTACATATATTTGCTCTCCATTTCCCTATGAAACAAAGTTATGAACGCGTTGACGAGCTCATTTGGGTAAAAACAAATCAATTGCAACGCATCATACGCACAGGTCGTACAGGCCATTGGTTGAATCATGGCAAGGAACATTGTCTGGTTGGCATGAAAGGTAATCCGAAAAATCTCAATCGCGGTCTCGATTGCGATGTTATTGTTGCAGAAGTGCGCGCCACCTCACATAAACCCGATGAAATATACGGCATCATTGAACGTCTTAGTCCAGGCACACGTAAAATAGAACTTTTTGGCCGACCACACAACGTGCAACCGAATTGGATTACTTTGGGCAATCAATTGGACGGTATACGCTTGGTAGATCCAGAGTTAATAACACAGTTCCAGAAGCGATATCCCGATGGAAATTGTATGTCACCAGCGGCAGCTGCTGGAGCGGCTGGCTCAACAACTAATCCGGCAAGTACCCCCAAGAAGTAAAGAGCAATAAATAAACACAAACCCAGTAAAAAAAAAAACAGAAAAATAAAATAAAATAGTGGTATGTACTATAATTTAGAGCAGCAAAACATCATTAAACTACAATGGTCAATTGAAATATTTGTTTAAGTTATATACCTCATACCCCTTATTTTAACAATTTTTTTATATATACTTTGTTTATGTATAAAAATTGTAGGGCATAAATTTTAGTGCATACGTTCACGTGTAAATGCTTAAGTTTAACTGGAATTCAGCGAATAAAAATGCTAAAAAGTAAGTGAAATAATCGCGTAAGACATTGGCAAATGGTGGTAATGCCGTGAATATAGGACACAAGATACGAGTTTTATTTTGAAGAAAAAGTACTTGCTGAAGGCCTATCAATTTGCTTGATATAATACTTAACCGTTTAGCGCCTGAAGTCAAACACCGGTTATTGCCCGCACCCTGGTTAGACAAACTTTGAAGCCATTTCAACAATATTAGAGTGGACTCTCTGCCCATGTACACATTCGCATTCACAAAACTATTCGTATCATTTGATGCGAATGCGAATGTCGATTGCGAATGTGCAAAATGATGTGAATATTCGCAACATCCCTGATATTTACATATAAAGGTATGTACATACATTTACGCATTTTTTTCTTAATAAAACGAAACACATAATTGTATTTAAAATGTATCATTTATTTCAATTAAATATTATGTATTTTCCATTTTAATTGCTTATTCAATTTTAATATTAATGTTTAACAATTTTCATTATTTATATAATTGTTGTTGCTTGTGTATACATACATAAATTAATCATAAAATTGGAAAAGCAAAGCGTGGGTTAAATTTGGAAAATTATACTATGCGTGTATTTGCATTAAATCATTAGCTTATTTACAAATTTACAGGCGGCCGCTGTGGTGGAGTGGTAAGCAGTGCGCGCTTCCACTCCGCATCGCCTGGGTTTAACCCCTGGTCAAACAACGCAAAACAATGTAGAATAAAGATTTTTTCTTAACAGCGGTCGCCCCTCGGCAGGCAATGGCAAACCTCCAAGTTTATAAAAATACAATCGCCGTTCGGAGTCGGCGTAAAATTGTAGATCCCTCCCCTTTGTGTGAGACAACATCAAAAGGCGCACGCCACAAATCGAAGGAGAAGCTCGGCCAAACACTAACATATATGTAAGCGCCAATCTATTAATATTATTATTATTTACAAATTCAAGATTTTCGGGTTTTACTTGTGAATAATTGCATTTTTTTTATCTTGCAACACTTCCAAATCTTTATAATTAACAAAAAAAAACACATCAGCATTTATGTTTGTATGAATGTAATACTGTCAAACCCTCGGACATTTTTTTTTTTTAATTTTATTTTTTTGGTGGTTGGACTGCAAAAGCATCTATGTATCTACGCTTTAATTTCGGACAAAATATTTTTGTTTACTAAAAATTATGCAATTTTTTAAATTTACATATGCATGCATGCCAAGACACTTAAAATATGCAAAGTTAAAACCCTACATCAATATGGATTTTTCTTATCTAACCTAAGATTATTTTTTACTCCATTGTTTTAAACTAAAATTATAAAAAAGCAAATGGACGCACAATTGCGAAAATATTTTGGCTGTATAGGTGAGACTCCAATCATTTACACTGAATTTGGAAACGGTATCGTTACTCTCGAAGTGCAAAAAAGGGTGCAACTCGTGAAAAGTTTTAATTCTCCTTGCCAGTTTCCGACCAAAGGCAAGCCTCCCGAGTGTATTTCTGCTCACTTCTCATTCAAATACAATCGCGGTTCAGAGCTTGCGTTCCAGTTCCTATTAAAGCCTCAGCCTTCTTATGTTTGCCATCGTCGATATCAATCATAATTTGAAACTCTGGCTTTTGTGATTTCCTAGACAAGTCAGCTTTTCGTACAGAATTGGATAGTTTGCTGTGATAGTCCAAGGTTAATTTCCAACATTTAAATGGCGCGAAAAATACAATAGGGGTATTCTCGAAGTCTCGCAAAGCCCTTGCACGGTGCACGGATTTCACGCTATGCAAAGCTGTCCCCTACCCTTATTGTTGCTGCCAATTTTACTGTATTGTAAAATGGACATTTCGGTTCTAGTTTTTTTTTTTTAAATATATTTTAAGGATGTTTTATTAAATTAAAAATAGCTTTTGGTTCTGAAAGAATATAGAGCCCAAATAGCGGCATTCGTGATCGAGTGATTACTCGTTTCGAATAGAACAAAATTGCAGCTGCAGAGAACCCCATTACAATTTAAATTGACGAAGAGCACTCACTATCGAATGCCGTTATCTGAAAATCAAAAATCGTTTCAATTACTTTCGATATCAAACGCCTTAATTTAGGTCCAGTATTTTAACGAAATTATTTTACAAGTGAACATGGTAACGACAAACCTTAATTCATAAAGGCCTTAACCAACACTTTTTTTCGAAACTGCGTTTTTTACCGGTTTTGGTGGGATATATAAAAATAGACCTTTCCAATCAATCAATATCATTATGGTGTTGATAAAAAATGATATCGCTGGTAAAGTTACGACAACGTCTTTGTCGAAAACAATAATAGAGCTGATTATTTTTATTAAGATAATATTGCTACCTTTAAATCTTTGCTTAAACAACAGTTTAATAGACATCCTTTCATTATATTATTGGTTGGAGAATTTTCAAACAAAGACATTATCCCAATTGACATTTTGTAAACATTATCTGTTTATTGATTTCATTTAATATTAAACTTTGCAAACGTTTTTATATATAAAATATAAAATAATTAAAATTATGTATAATAGTATGATTGAAATTTAAAAATAGAATAAAACTGACTGATTTTACACAGTTATTTTATCGACATTAAAGGAATTCTTAATTTTGTCCGATTTATTTTTTATACATAATTGAATTGGTTCTTTTTCTACAACAAGCGTTTGTGTGTATTTGTAGTTTTCAATAAAATTTCTGTTTATTTAAAACCTTTTTTCTAAGGCTGGTTATTTACCTTTAGTTTAAATTCAAAACTCTTATGTTAAAATAATAAACTAAAGTGAATTTTTCGCAATTAGTGTCAAAATTACAAAAAAAAAGACTTATGCTAGCACGGACATTAATGTCTCGAGTGAGTGCTTTGCGTTTGCGTTGGTATACTATAAAATCGTGCGGTGAAGGAATTAAGAAATTTCAGTTAGCAGGCGCATTTATCTGACTTAAAGCCTTACTTAAAATACATACAACATATGTAATAGTATGTGCAAAAAAAATCTAGATTAAATTAATGCCAAATAACTTAATATTTACAAAAATTTCGTTTTAAATTTGGAAGCAATCTATGTGATGCACGATCAAATTCATTAAAGAAATTTATGCTCAGATAATTAAGGCTAAAATGCATAAAATCAATATCTTTCTGCCACCAGCAGCAGATAAATTTCTGCACATACTTTTATACCGCGGCGCGCAACAAGCAGCCGGCTTGCCTTTTTTGAGACAGATATTATTTTCGCCTTGAGTACGTTAACAAATAAACTCAACATGCTCATCATAATTTTTAAATCTAGTTTTATTTGAAGTTCTCAATTGTGTTAATTTTTTTAAATTTAAACTACGAATTAATTTTGTTTGTTTTTTTTTGCATTAATAACTGATTTATTCTGTGTTAGTGTAGGTTTTTTTTTCCGTTTGCATTGATGTGAAAAATTAAACATATGCCGCGCTGCTTTAATATCAATTGGATTGAATCTTTGCACCACCACCGTCATCTCCTCCGCCACCACCACCACCACCACTATCACCATCAACAGCCGATGCACCACTTTGTTCCGCACGCTGTCGGCGCTCCTCCTCTTCCTGTTCTTGCTTGATTTGTGCAGGCAACTTGACTTTCATCTGCACCTTGAGCACTTCACGCAGCTCTTGTAATTCTTGTTGTCCTTGTATGAGACGCTTGACACCACGCGGCAGACCGCGACACGATGACAAATTTATTGAACTCATATGCGCACAATTTGCAAGAATCTCTTTAACTGCCTCATCTGAAACCGATGAACCACAGAGATTCAAATGGCTGAAAATAAAATAAATCTATTAGTATCTTTAATCTGTATTACCTACATTGCTTAGCATTGAACCTACGCTAGAGGCGACTCGCTGCCCTTTTCCGCCAATGCACGTAATGCGTTATCCAATGGCTGTTGCACATTCGCCCAGGCCAAGTCCAACTCGATGAGACTATGCGCCCACTTTGAAGCTATAAGCTCGAGACCGGAGCTTAAAAAATTAACACACATAAATATGATATTATCAAGAGGCAAACTTTTTTCGCAATGCTTACCCAACATCACGCGTCACTGAGCAGAAGGACAAAAATAAATGCTTGATATCCCACGCAGGTAAACGTATGAGACTTTCGTGTGTGAGTCGCGCACAACCGCGCACATCCAATAGTTTCAATTTTGAGCTGGTTTTCAATATGCGCTGCAAATGGTCATCGCCTAAGATGCGACTTTCCTCAGATAAAGCTGCCACGGAAAGCTCCTCGAGATCGGGGAAACCAGGCGAATCCATCTAATGCACCCAAGTGAGAAATTAATATATACATATATAAAAAACAATACATTTATTACACGCTTGTGCTTACCGTTTCCTGCAAAGTTGCATTGCTCCATAATACATGTGAATTGGTCACACGCAGTACCTTCAACTTAGGACAACCGTGCTGGAGCTTCTCGATGTGAATGATACTATGTGAAATTGCTTGCGTAGTCACATTGGAGAGATCTAAATTCACCAAGTTCGGACAATCGCTCTGAAAAATTAATAATTATAAATATATAAGAATAAAATTTAATTTAAATATGATACATCTTGTGTCATAAAAAGTTTTTCTATAAAGATTCTCAGCTTTGTGCTTACCGCTAATGTCTTGATTACATGGGGAATTCCGGCCAGCCGATTATGTGCCAAATACAGATGCGTTAAGCGACCGTTCATTGTTTTCAATGCACTGCACAGCGATTGTGGGCCAACTGCACTCTTGCTTGCATTAATTTCCACCTATATTGTAATGAGAATATACGATCAATGTTTGCTGCCAAAAGTTGAATTAACAGCATTTTAAACTTACATTGATGGAGCTCAAATCAATTCGCTCTAGCTTTTGCATGTTTTCAGTTAGATATGCCAAATGATCTGACGTTAAACCTTTCCAGCCAGACAATGTAATGCTGGTTAGGTTGGGACATCCAACTGTTAACTTATTTAAAAAACAATTTATATCTGACATTTTCCAATTAGCTAAGAAAGAGGAATAATCATAATTTTAATAATATCTTTTTACATACTTTGGAATACTTACCAACATTTAATTCCGTACATTCGCTGCAACGGTTGTCTACGAACCATTTCAGCTTGAGCTCTGTGCGATACTTGTCCTTTATCCATGTGGATAAGTCCATGCTCTTCCACAATGACGGTGTTAAAGAAACATTTCGCCACAGTGTACAAACGCGTCCAAGCCGACAAAGAGTTGGCAAGCTGCCCTCACGGTCGATTAGAATTGCGAAAATCTACATAACAATAATTACCTTTCACATAAACGTTCATAAATTCTCTTTTAAATCCATACCTTATATAATATTTCCTGTGGTATTCGAGCGCCCCAGTCGCCCTGTTCGATGGATGCGCGGTGTTTCTCACCTTGTTCTTCCACGCTAGTAAATGAAACTTTCTTCTGTCGTTCTCCATTACCGCCTCTATTCTTTCCACGCTTTCCCGGTGTTACCTCATATTCACTCTCGTCGCTATCAACCTTTGCCTTTGACTTCGATTTACGTGAACGTTTACGCGTTTGCTTCGGTGCATTTGTTGCTGATGTTGCAGTCGACTTGCCAGTAATGGGCGGTGTGGGCGCACCTGCGGATGCCACCAAATTTCCTGACGAATCTGATTTCTTTATACACAATTTAATACCAGTTTTATTGTCGCTTATCTAAAATTAAATAGCTTAAATGATTTCCAAATTTTTTAAATTACCTACAATAAGTTCAATAATACCTCGCTTTCGTATATCGGCACGGTTGACTTCTGTTTGCGTTGCCTTGGGGTGCGCGTAGTTTTCTCCTTTAACTTTTTATTCATTGCTGACATTTGCGGTTTCCCACTTGACTTGGGCATAGTGCCGTTGGCAACAACATTAATGGGTTGTACCACGCGTTTACCAACAACGTTACTACTGTCACCGCCACTAGCCGCACTACCCGATGCAGCCCTCTTGGATGCTGCCTTCGACGGTGTTGATCCAGTGCTGGTAGCAGCGCTAGTGACTTTATCTGCAGTTGCAGTTGCAGCTATATCTGGTGCTTCTGGTGGTGTTGTTGGGGTTAGCGCTGTGGTTCCCGTGGCCGAAACTGAGGCAGTCATCGGAGATAGCTGAGAATCCGATGCTGGTGATGATGATGAAGTGGCCGTATTAGCGTCGTCCGTTTGTGTTTCTGACTTGGGTGGTGACAAAATTGTGTCTGGAATGGCAGCGCTAATACCAGCAGCGGCAACAACCACCGAAGCCGCTACACCCATGGCCGCAACGATCGATGCATTTGTTGCTTTTTTTGTTGTTTGTTGATTGGGTGGGGGAGTTTGGGACTGTGTTGAAGGGGAAATACTGTTGACAGCATCATCGTCGCCAATGGATACAATATCTTTCTGGCTTCCGTCGTCTTCGTCGGCATCCAGCGAATCGTCTACCGATACTAACGTATTTAAAACTTTAGAATTGCCACCTCTATTTGACACTATGGCAGCAGCGCCGTCTTTATCAGTATTCTTGGTGTTATCTTCGGTAAGGTTTTTATTTAGATTAGCTGTTTGTGGTGCTTTAACTGTTGTGGGAAATGATTTAGAGCTTTTATCATTCTCATCGTTAATCCCGGTATCAGCATTAACATTTAACGCTTTAGGTAAAGCAACTTCTGATTTAGGGGAAGAATCCAAGACACCTTCGCTCTTCTTCATTGTTTTTATATTGCTTCCGGCTATTGGGTTTTGCTGTAGTTTTTTGGTGTTTCCGGCTGTAGGTACGGTTTCAATATTTGCGGATCTTTTATTTTGATCTTTGCTGCCAGTTTCTGTGAAATTAATTTCGGAAACTTCTATTGAACGTGTTGACGTTGCTGGTGCATTTGATATTCCTGTATGTTCGTCACACTTTGACGACTTCACCGCCCTTCTTTCAATTTCCATTTTAGTTACTTTTACTGGGAAAGTACAAAGTAGTTTATCTAAAAGCGAAAAAAATAAGTTTTTATGATTTTTTTTTTTTTCAAAAATACATAGTTAGCAATATGCATAAAACCTTCGCAAATGCTTTTTCTTTAAATTTCAGACCTTTTACTCGATCTGTTCAAATAAATTTAAGTGAAAGGTACGAAATTTTAAGCAAAGGCACTTGCTTTGTTTTTATGCATACGACCCAGTGTCGACAACAAAAATAGCATCCCAAAAATTTTCCAGTTTTGAATATGTTTTCTTTTGTTTGTTCATTAGCATATTAAGTGATGTGCGATCAAATGGATGTGTGGACGAGTTTGAACACTTACTTTCCCCATTTAATTTTATTTGAATTTATTGTTTGTACGAAATTTAAAAAAATACAAGTAATTTTTAAACAAAAAACAAAACAGACTTGGTCATATATATTCCGACGAATCGATAACCTCCTCCTTTTTTGGAATCTGTTAAAAACTTGACAAATTTTCATCAAAATACCTTGTAATTGGAATTCTAAAAAAAATTTAATTAGCCCTTAAATTTTAGTATAAAAAACAAGTTTGACGCGGCTAAAAAGATCCGTTGATTTTTTACAAAAATAGATTTTGTTCATGAGTTATGTATGTACATATTGACAAAAAAACTTAAGTCTATCTTTCACGGACATACAAAATAGCATATGTCGACAAAACATATTTTACCGTCAAAAATAAAAATGTTGCAATTCGAAAGAAGTGTTAAATTATTTTATCGCTATTCGCAACCGTTAAAAATGTTTATATATGCAACAACTGCCAACAACAACAACAACGGAGACGCTGTAAAATTTGGGTGCCGCGGGAGTAAACTAATTAGCCAAGATTATCACCCTGTCAATGGCCACTCTCATCATTCCAGATATCTGGAAGAAGGGGACAGTGGTCCCACTGCTCAAACCGGAGAAACCAGCCAACAAAGGAGAGTCTTTTTGCCCAGTAACACTCCTTCCCCTGGTAGCGAAAACAATAGATGCCTTGCTATTTCCGTATTTTGCGAACCACCTGACCCCGGCAAAGCATCACCATGGTTTCCGTAAAGTGCAGAGTACAACAACAGCACTTAACGCTATAAAAACTCAGATAACACGTGGCCTAAACCACGACCACCCCTGTGAGAGAACTATCCTAGTAGCGTTGGATCTATCAAAAAGGCGTTTGATACAGTCAGCCACTCCACGCTGCTCGAAGACACTCGTCAGTAATGTTTAGAGACAAATCTAGCAAACCAAGAAAAATAAAACAGGTGGTCCCACAGGGTGGTGTCCTTTCCCCATTACTTTTTAACCATTATATTTTTAAGCTCTCTCAACCACCCGAGGGAGTCTCGATTGTCTCTTACGCTGACGATTGTTTGATCATGGCGTCTGGGAATGGATTTGATGACTTATGCGCGAAAGTAAATGGGTATCTCTCCGAGCTTTCTCGCTTCTTGACTGAAGGAGCCTAACCCTCTGGCCTACAAAATCCTCTGCGACCTTGTTCACCACCTGGACGACAGAGGTCAGACTACCGCTGGGCATTCACGTCGATGACACACCAATTCCGACGGTGAATAACCCCAAAATACTTGGGAGTAACCTTCGACATTCTGCTCTCCTTCTCTGCGCATGCAAACGCAATCGTCAATCAAGTACAAAGCCGCAACAAGGTCCTCAAGTCCTAGCCCGCAGTACTTGGGACAAAGTCAAAGAAACGTTGCTGGCAATATACAAGGCAATTGGCCAGCCGGTTTTAAATTAGGCAGCGCCAGTGTGGTGGAACTAGTAGGGCGCAGTAGATAAAGCTGTTGCCGACCCAAAACACTGCACTTCGGACAGCGGCTGGATGTAAAGGATCACAACACGATGCTCTACAAGCAATTCCTAGTAGGGAGCCACAGGCATGAACACCCGAACAGACACTTGCTTGCTCATTAAATTCTAATAAAAAAAATGCAAGTTCGGAGTTAGTAAAAAATCGCATTGATTTTTGAGAAATTTTTCTGGAAGGTGTTTTGCATTTTTTCCATATCGTCGCTGGAATAATGAAATAGTGTAACATGAAAAGTATTGTTTTGAGAAAAAACGAATTGGAAGTTTTTATAAACCATTACAAACCATACAAATACAATTTCGTTTTTCGGGAATAAATTAGTGAGCCATTTTTCTAATAGATTAAAGGATTGTCTATCCAATGGTGCAATTATCGAATAATAGTGTATGTGGCATTTACACTGTTTCTTTATTCGAGCGACGATATAAAGTATTTTCGAAAAAAATTTTTTGTATGGTGTGCGTAAAAAAATTGCAAAAATTAAAAGTTGACAAAGTTTAAGAATTAAATTTTTATGTTTTTTATTGTAGGATGAACCATATTTTTATACAAAATTGGCGAAAAATATTGGAATAAAAATTGTTGCATATATTGTAAAAAATTTGCTGTGCCAATACTTTGTTGTATTTGTATATAAATACCTAATACGAACGAGCTCGCATTTTTATATAAAAAATCTATGTTTTCAAATAATTTTAAAGTATGTACATAGATGGATTATGTTTATCTCACTACATATTTGTTTACATTCAAAGGCGTGAGGAACTGCCGGCTTCTCACCTGCTTATGTTTTGCTTATCGGTTTCACGTTATGTTGCTGTGGTACTGCTTTCTTATTTATTCACTGTTTACATCTTCTCATTCGTAACAATTATATCTTTTTAATTCTCTTTACCAAGTCCATGAATAATTAACTATATCATCTACTGTGAAACTTTAGTCCGAATAAATATATGTTGCGATTTCATACCACTAAACGTCTTGCAAATTATGTTGAAATAATTTTTCTACAATTTTCTTGTTTATTTTTGTTGCGTTCTTTCTATTCAGATTTTTATTCAAGTTTTTGGCGCCCTCCACTACCATTATATTTTCTCTCTCTTCGGTCTCTTTCTCAAATTTCCCATATCGCACTTTCACTCTCGCACTTATGCTACTTATGCGATATATGTCTACGTTCGCTAAATAAGCAAAATTTACATTTACACAAGCGAGATGCAACCATTCACTCTACCGCGTATGCGGTTCGCGTAGTTCGGGAAAATTTTCCAATTGTTTTTTTTTTATACCTCTAATTTTTCAATATCAAAATTTTACATATTAGAAGTACATTTAAAGCTTGTTCAATACGAATTTAACTTTAGATACACTTAATACTTGTCGTTCGAATGCACTTTATCCTATTATCAAGGTATGAGAAAAAACACAAATTTTCACTGCAACGACGTAAAATCGCTGTGTAGTGGACGAAGAACGACATAAAATAAAGTTCACGATGCTATTGTGGCGAATACTGCGGTGTCAGAAGTGGGATTGTTAAATAAATCCCGAAGGATAAACTACTGAAAATGGCAAAAATTCAGGATCTAAAGATTGAGGAACTCAAGCAGGAGTTGGAGAAACGAAATTTAGCAACCTCCGGAAGAAAAGTGGAATTATTATCCCGTTTGCGGGAGGCTATGGAAGCTGAAGGCATCGACGTGGACAAATACGACTTCCAGGGTAAATCCGACGATGCATCCGCAAAGGATGAACAGAAGGATGAGGCTGCTTGTTCGTCGAAGGATGTGCAGCAGACATCAGCGAAGCTTGAAGAGCAGGGAAAGGCTCCTTGTGCGTCAACGGCTATAGACATGAACATGTTGTTGGGTGCCATATCACAGATTTCATCCCAGCTGCAAGTGCAGGAAACACGCATGTCCTCGCAGCTGGAAGCACAGAAAACGTACATGTCATCGCAGCTAGATGAAAAGATTACTCAGCTACAAGAGAATTTATTTAAAGATAACGCGGAACTCAGAGAGAGACAGGATAAAATCGAGGAACGACAAGATAAAATCGAAGAGCTAATTCAGGAGAAAGTCGAGGCTAAGGTAGAAGAGTTGGAAGGTCGCCTCCGAGATATGCAGTTGAATCGCCCACCTTCTTCGACCAGCGCGCCCAAGGTAAAGACTCCATCCTTTGACGGCACGATTCCTTTCCAAGTCTTTAAGCTCCAGTTTGAGAAGACAGCCACAGCAAATCACTGGAGCATGGAGGATAAATCCGCTGCACTGTTCGTTGCATTAAAAGGACCTGCAGCGGAAATCTTGCAGACTATTCCTGATTGTGAAAGGAACAGTTACGATGCGTTAATGGGTGCAGTGGAAAGACGTTATGGTAGCGAACACAGGAGACAGATTTACCAGATGGAGCTGGAAAATCGCTGCCAGAAATCCAATGAGACTCTACAGGAATTCGCCTCCGAGGTTGAAAGGTTGGCTCATTTGGCAATTGGAGATGCATCTGGTGAGCACCTCGAAAGAGTAAAAATCCAGAGGTTCATCAACGGAATGCGGGACGTGTATACCAAGCGCGAGACGTATGCAAATCCAAAGCCAACATTTGCTGAAACGGTCTCGTATGCTCAGACACGTGAAACGGCAGCGCTCCTAAGTAGACCAGCCTACAAAGCCCATCGAGTAGAAGTGGAAACACCTGACGTGATGAACGAGATCCTGAAAACACTCAAGTCGATGGCAGGGAAGAATACTCCTGGTGCAACCGAGAGGAAGGATGGTGCTAGAAAATGTTTTAGCTGCGGAAAACCAGGCCACTTCGCACGCGAATGTATGACGGGTTCCAACAGGTCAAACAGTTCAGCAGTACGTAAACGCAGGGCTGAGGGAGACGAATCCAACTCAAATCAGTCGTTAAACTAAAACGTGCCAGCAGGAAGGGCCGCGTGCTGGCTCCAGAAGTTGAAGGGCCCATAATCTCCGTCTCACAAATTGGCCGGAATGCGAGCAACCTCACTATTGGTGGATGTGTGAATGGGCAGGAGCGAGTGCTGACAGTGGATACTGGAGCGTCACATTCCATTATTCGACCTGATGTGACTACTTTTTATGTGAAGCCACTACCTGGAGCAAAGCTGCAGACTGCAACTGGTGAGCGAACCCAAGTGTTAGGAGAAGTACTATGCGAGGTAATAATCGACGGGTTGGCCTCGTACACGAAGTTTATTGTCGCAGACATTGTGGATGAAGTCATCATCGGCGTGGATTTCCTACTTGGGCAAGGCATGAAGATTGACCTCCAGGGAATGATCCTAACCTATGGCGACAGGAAAGTGCCACTTAGGGTTGGTTACGACAACCAGTGCTTCAGCAGACGGTTGGTCTTAGAGGAAGTGCCGAAGATTCCACCAGAAAAGGAAGTGGTTAGTTGGGAAGAGGTTTACAGTGATGGAGACGAAATGGTTTCGTCAGGAGAAGGAAGTGGTTCACCGATACAGGAAAAGCGTGACGGTTCCGCCAGCTCAGTGAACAAGAGGTCGCAACAAGGAAGTGGTCATGGCGAGCCAGGCAGTGTTTCCGGAAGGAGGAAAGCCACTGAATCACGTTGCAATGGTGATACGCCGGTGGCCGGAAATGGAAGCGGCTGTGGAAACAGTAGCCGCGCTTTGAAGTGTCCCAGAAAAGGTGGCCGGCAAAGGCGAGCAGTTAAGTCGGAAGCCAAGGATGAGGTTATACATGTCCGGTCAATGAGGTTGACGCCGGCGAAAGAGCGAGATGCGGAAACACTGGGCAAGTTTCAGCGTGAGGAACCGGATTTAGCAAGATGTGCTAAAGGCAGTGCAGCACGAAGGCAGGAGCCTCGGTGTCATGGACAGAGGATGCAGCATAGATCTGGCGAAAAGGGTGCCCACGAGAAGAGACATGGTCTGGTCACCACCAGTGGCCGGCAGAAGCACGATCATGTGAGATGGTGCACTCCCGGAGATAAGCCGGAAGCAATGTCCAGTAACGCATTGCGGTTGTACATGTCACAGAAGAAGAAAAGCTTCACCTTTAAGCAAAGACGTGACCGGAAAGATTCGAAGATTGACAAGCGGCTGAAGGACGCAGTGCATCGAATCCAGACAATGGGGAGACCGAGGACCAAGATGAAAGTGGTCCACTTGGAAAGACTTGCAGCGGTTGGAGCAGCAAGTGTGTCTGATCGGGACGATCAGACTTAGGTGGAGGGCAGTGTGGCGAATACTGCGGCAACACAAAGCGAACAACGAGAAATAGGCAGAATGTTCGAGGAATGACGTAGAATGTTCCACAAAGAGAAACGTCAAGTTGGATGAACACTGCGAACAGCGAGAGAAAGAGAATGAGCGATAAACTTCAGAACGTTCTAGAGTTGCCATAAGTGTGAGCGCAGGTATATAAGAGCCACGACACAGCGGAGTTGGGACAGTTACAAGTCAGCAAGCTACAAGTAAAGTGAGCGGAGAATTGAGTTGCGAATAAGCAAGCTATAAGTTTAATTGTGTTAACAAGTAGTAAAGCGTTGTTATTGCTTTAACAAGTATTGTAAAGTGTTTTTACTGTATTAGCAAGTATTGTAAATTGTTTGTTGTACAATAAAGTTAATTGTACTACAATTTGGTCATCGTTAGCATTTATTTAACAATCCAGCGATACGAGCCCGAGTATATTTGGGTAATCCCTCAAGGTTTCGAGGATAATCGTAACACTATGTTTTCTCTTTACTGAGTCATATGGTTGCATTTAGTTGGAGTAGTACTTTTCCCATTTTTAATAGGAATATTTCAAAAAACGCTCCTGGTAAAGTACTTCCAAATAGTTTTAATTTAAAAGTATTTAAAATTTGTGAAGTGCTCTTTTGCTTAGTTGAATCTTTTACTAATACGGAATCATCCGTCTTATAAGGATTTTTTTTTATGAAACAAGGTTGGGTTTTCATAAACAGAATTTATTAAATTACTGTCATAATTTAGGAAATACGTAGAAAGGAGTTTTTACTGATGAAGGTTTCTCTTTTGAAGCGCGGCCGAAAGCTGCCCTCTCAGGAAGGAGTTAACTACGAATGACTTAAAAACTGGGCGGCCCTCTCTACTCCCATTATATCAATGCGACAATCCCTACTGTACAATTTCCTTGTTATACATTTTATGTGAGCTTTTGTAAAACTTTTGTCAGATGAAATAAATAACATATCAAACCCTAAGACGTTAGCATGATTTGTTCAAAAAAATTCTATGCCGTTTGAATACTTGATGCTGTTCGGACTGATGTCAACAAATTAACCGAAATATTCTCCCGGATTATCAGCCAAAAATTTAGTCGGGCTCTTTTGAATCCCAGCAGACCAACTTAACACTGCAGTACTAATGTTATTTTTTATATGTAAATAATAATTCTTAGGGCAATTGGCTAACAGGTTGCAACTGCGATTGCGCCCAAACTAAAAAGTCTGCCAACTGTCGCTCCTCTATGTACGTGCACACCATGCAGAATTGTGTTAGGCGAAATTCTGCCAGTTCCGATGGTGTAATTTTATTTGAAATAAATTTTGAACCGTTTGTTTATATTTTTGGGCATAATATAACCTTAAAGGAGAGCCGACCTGAGTTGTCAATTACACCTTGTTTAATACACCATGATTACAACTCAACTCAACTATTTTTTCGTTTATGATTCACAACAAATTTTAGTTGTCTTTGTTAACTTAATGACAACCTGAAAATAGTTTTAGCTGCTAATTTCGAGATGACCACACCGAAATAGCAGTTATAACTTCTACCACCTTGTCCTAATAAGGTCAGAAAATGGAATCCGTAAGCGGATGAAATTTCACGCTTACTGTTTCTAACCAGAAACTTGTATATTATTCCTTTAAAATTATTTTACTCTTAAAGATAATGGTTAACTATTGATCTACAACATACTGCGCCATGTTTTATTTTATTTGGGATTTCCGAAAACCAACTACGTAAAATTCTTGCCTACTTTGGGTAGTAGCTCTTATGCTTTATAGTCTGTAAAGATTTATATTGCATTTGATTAAATAAATAAATTTAAATAAATATGTGTTACTACTGCAACACATGAAATGATCACTACGGCATAGAATTTTTTTTTGTTTTAAAGTAATCAATTTCGCAGTATTATATAATTCAATACTATTTGAAATTGCGCCTCAGTAACCCACTTGTTCCAAATTGTAGATTTTAGTATTTTTTTGTTTCTTTTAACAATTTTATATTTATTTCACCTCTGTTTGACAGCCTATCTTCTCACAGGATTCGTTTCTTGCCATTTTGCAACGTCCAATGCAAATGCAGACGTAAACAAGTGTTGTGTAAAAGAGATAGCAAGTGTATACAATTGCTTGTTACACACGCACACTCCCCCACGCACTCTTTTGTATGCTCAAGTGCTTTATCGCAATTATCCGACATCTTCACTTTTTATGGCAATATATAAATTTTAGTTTTGCAACCATTTCCTTCACTATGGCTTACCATTTTCTGATGATTTTCCAA